ATCCTAAGGGTCCTTAAAAGCTATGTGTATCCATGCTGGCACCTTGATGACCTTCCAGTTTAGATGCCACCAACCCATGCCAGGCTTTTATCTCTTCTTCTGCCATTCCTTCTAGTGCTTCCACATGTATGCTTTCATTCATATTGTCTTAATCTTTCTATTACCTGTCTCTACATGAAAGCTACGTGCAGTGCAGTAGGGCAAACCCAGACTGAGCGGGGGTTCTGAAAGCCAGCAGGGTCTGGCAGTGGCGCAGAAGGGCTGGCCGCTGGCCTGTTGGATTCTGCTCCATGTGGGAGGGACATGGCTCATTTCCTGGGCAGCAGTTCCCAGATTCACAGCTTCTGCAGGACTGGAGAGGTGCAAAACCATTCCTGTTTTCATGAAGCATCAATGCAAATTATCTAATGACACTACAATCAATCAGCTGCCTGCTAATTACTGAAATATTCCCTGCTATGGGAGGGCAGGGCACACCAGGAAGCAACAGCCCTTTGCATCTTTCTTAAATCCCGAGCCTTCGAGCACAGAGTTATCAGACTAATTCACCCAGATTCTAGTGCAAAGCAGCAAACAGGAGTAAAACACTGCATGCAGGCTTCCTGCAGGGGAGGTAAGGAGTTTACACTGAACAGAGAGGATGAAGAAGTGCTTGTGACACTTCCCGAGGCATAAACATTTAAACAAGACCTCTGTGGCAAGGACCAAGCACATGAACACTCCAGAGAACAAAGTCAAAACCGAGAACTCTGTGTGGGAAATCAGGAGCAATGGGAACTGCAGGCTTAGCAGGCATCCTGGGACACACAAGTCCTATTCCCACCCACACCGAGATTACTACCACAGCATGACACGAACTGGTTTGCAGGGTTCAGGATAGAGGTGAAGTTTTCAGCCTCTACATGAGAAAGGCAGTTTGGAAAATACTCTAGGCGACGACAGCTACAACTCTTTAGAAAGAGAAGAGCAATGAAAACAGACAACAGGTTAGGTACCTTTGCAGGGAACAAGGTTAAAATCAGACCCCATGCTGGTCAGCAGCAGTATCTAACAGTCAGTCAGGGCTTCAGGCGCATAACTGTCAGAAGGCCTGATCCTACCACCAAATACAGCAGGGAAAAAGTCATCCGTCTTCAGTGTGGATCTGCTGGAGCATCACCCAGCTACCCCCAGAGATAGCAGGTACCCCAGTATGAGAAGAAGGGATTACGCTCTGTGCTTGAGAATGCCCCTGCGGGCATGCTACCCACTGTGCAAACGGCCATTGGCCTATGCCCTGGGGCTACAGTATAAGGCTAACAAAGAGCAGATGCAACACCTCTGGCCTCTTCTAAAAAGGCCCAGTGTTGCCTGCTAGGAGGGCAGATGGAGCTCTCAGCCAGCCTGAAGTCAAGGTGCACTTTAGGCTGCCTGCAGGGAAGGTGAGTACAAGCTGCCAAAGTGGGGGGAGGTGGCAGGGGGCGCTCAGCACAGGCACCGGGAACCACTGCAGCTGCAGACTAGTCTTGTAAAGCAACTGCAGGTGGAAGCATCCGGCACCACACACACAACCCTGCTTGATCCACACTCATCACCCCTCATAGGCAGATCAGCAAAGCTGGATACTAGCAGCCCCATGCTATTAACATCTCCTCAATGTGAACTCCCTATGAGCTAGTCAGGAAGCCCCATCCCTCAAGGGCTCAGTCCCTGCCCCTTCACTTAGAAATGGAGAAATCCACTCCCAAACAGGAGGATCTGCTGTTCCAGCTACCTCTGCAAAGCAGTAACAGTCCAGCAAAAAAAGACTTAGATCTTTTGGATAAAACAGCACATCACCAACATGTCTTTCTTCACAAGTCATCTTAGAAAGCTTTTACATGTTTATCAGGAAGCAAGTGGGGTTAAGCAGAGGAATGATTTACCTTCCCAGCGCTTACATGGTTCATTCCTCTGTAAATGTTAAGAGTAGAGTTTGCTTGTCATTCTCCAGGTAAGATAGGGAGCTCCTCCGTAGGGAATGACACACAGACAATGGGGAAGCACTCCTCAAATCGTTCAGGTAATCAAGTCTTTAAGACCATGTCACATTTTCCCAAAGCACAAGCCATTTAGGAACCCAAGCAGTGGTTTCAGAAGCAGTTGAGGACTGTGAGTAACCATACTTTATGAGACCTCTGCACGTCAGTGGTCAATCACTTCTGAATTACTCGGAGACCTGCTAAAATGCCTCAGGCCGTACAAGCAGTGCGTGAGGCTCAGTCATCTTTCCACTGCTCCCCCAGCTCACCCTTGTGTCCTTTCCCCTGGTCATTGACTCCCAGGCTCTTCCAGGTGCTCTGCGCTATTTTCCCCAACCATGCCTGCCTGCTGCTTGCCTGGAGAAACTTTTCTTTTGACACTTTCTGCCAAGCTGTCAGCCTTGCCAATGACTCTTTTGACTGCGCTCTCCCTGTTGCCGTTTTCGAAGTCTTTCAACTAGCATCCACTGCAGACTTCACTGACATGTTTGTGACCTGCCCTCATTTTCCAGCTGCCGTCAGGCCAGGACATGAAGGGTGCCCAGCAGGGTCTCCTGCAGTGATGCAGGCAGCCTTCCCAGCCCCAGGCCTTTTTGCCCTCACCACAGGCTGTACCAAGACATCTAAATTGAACACATCTCTTTCATCAAATAAAGGACTTGACAAAGAACGAGCTGTAATAAAGGAAGCATTAGAAAAACAGCTAGATTAAGCGGCAAGAAGTCACCAGGACAACAGAACAGTTCCCACAATTTCCCAAGGAATTCAAGAACACAAAGTCTGGGTTGCTTATAAAAATATCTACCTTCCCACTGCAATCAGTTGTTCCTGTGAAAAGCCTCTCTACAAGACAGTTCGACTCTCTTTCATTGAATATTTCTAAGCTATTTCTTGATTTGGAAGGGGGATAGTTACTTGATTTGGGAGGGGGATAATTCTGGTCAGAAGGGACCTTGGGAGGTCATCAAGTCCAACTTCCTGCTCGAAGCAGGGTCAGCTTCCAAATACAGTCTTGCTGTTTGCCTCCCCTGGTCACATAGTTTTCCGCTGACTTTACCGAGGACGTATTTTCATTTTCCAAAGCATCCGTCCTTGAAGCAACGATCCTTGACTGTCTCACTGTGTTCTCCTGCTTTGGACAACAACCCTCTAGCAACCAGTCTGTGGCATGCTGTTGCAGACCATTGCTGAACGTAAGAGTTCCTCTCTTCTGGCCTCAGAGACTGTCACGCTGATCCCACAGCTTTCCCTTTTCCCCTTGCCAACCTGAAGTTCACCATGGTCACCGCCATTACTGTTATTTCTTGGGTACCATTTAAGCCATATATCCTTTTTCCTTGTATCCTTCAACACTCGCTCATTCAAAAATGATTCACATCAGCCTCGCGCTTTCTCAGTGCGGCCAGCTCCCAGCACCGTGCTTACTGCAGTAAAGGACCGGAGATGTACTGAAGATACAGCATGACCTGGCACTACCAAAGGCCCCAGTTTAAAAAAAAGAGTAAGAAAGATCAATCAAAAGCTTCTTCACTCAGATCAACCAATACTCAAACTAGTTGCTTTATCAACCACTTACCAGCCACTGTTCCTTGTTTTACTGGATCGTTGTACTCTGCTGACCTCGTCTGCATGACACATTTAAGTCTGAGCCCATTCCAGGGCTCCAGTTGGGCTCTCGGTCAAAAACTTATATAACAAAGAGCTCCTGCAGTGGAGGAAACATCTCATGGAGTTCCTACGAGCGCAAGGACTGTATTCCATCTCTATCTGTAGTAGAACCCATTGCTCCATGTGTTTCCAGTGTGTGCTATTGAACTTACAGACAAGCTTCATCTACCTCAACCTCCATCTCTTCTACGGCCAACACGGCCCATCTCCCCCTTGGTTATAGACAGAAGGCAGAGCAGCACACCCATTTATCAAAACTCAGCATAAAACACCAGCCTTAGCGCTTACCCAGGTAGAGGAAGGGAAAATGCACCCCTTCATACAAAAGTCTCATTAACAAAATTTAATTCAGCATGCAAATCTCATATAACATTCAGTTCTTACATCAACTTTGTCTCATTCTCCTGAAAAAGCTTTGGTAATAAAACAAGTCTCTCTCTCTACCTCTAAATCCATGGGATAATCCCATAAAAAAAAAAAAACATATAACACTCAGTTCTTACATCAACTTTGTCTCATTCTCCTGAAAAAGCTTTGGTAATAAAACAAGTCTCTCTCTCTACCTCTAAATCCATGGGATAACCCCATAAAAAAAAAAACATCAAAAGAAGGTGTAATCAGTGGTTTCACTGGAGGAAGAAGAGGAGGAAGAATTGCTTCACTGCTAACATTTCTAACAGGCTAACGTTTCCCAGTCTGCAAGGCCAAATTGATGCCTGATGGCAGAGCCCCAGCAAGGAAAAGGATTTCCAACAGACTACAGGTCTGCACAGTACAGTCTGAAAGATTATCCATCTTCTGAGATTAAGTGACATTTTAAGCAAGATACTCAGCTGCATCAGTAAGCCTTGGTCTCATTTATAAACTAGTAAAGCATCTTTCTGGGCACTTCGGAAACACAGAGAGACTTTACGTTTTAGAACACATTGCAGAAGAAAACTCTCCCTACAGAGCTTACATTTCACAAGGTATTTTTTGCTCCAGTCAAAATCTCTTTTAGTCAGATGCTTAACGTGGATGTGCAGAAACCTGCATTTATCCAAGCAGACGCCTTGATGTGCACACACATGGGATAAATTTGATCCACATTGCCCTCTTTTCCATGATCCGCCTGGTGCCCACACTCACATCACAAGTCCTTCAGGTGGCCAGCTCTTTTGCTGACCCATCGGAAACACGCTGCATTACTTTGTCCAGTATCTGCAAATCAGAACTTGAGCACTTTAAAGCAAAGCACAGCCTTCCTTTCCTATCAAAATTCCTCAATTGCCAAAGCTTGCCTCCTGCCTCTCCCCTCCTTCCATTCCCAGTGCCACCTGGACAGAGACTCACCTGAGTTTTCCTTATCCTCAGGTCAGCAGATGACCTATTCAGTCCTTCCTCTTGTTCAATACTCTGTTCAATACCTGGTTGGGGTAGAAGGATATGGATTATTGCAGGCAGTTTAGAGAAGAAAAAGATTGCTTGGCCGAGTGATTTTAAAAGACTGAAACTTGTGAACCAAGGAGCATTTGGCACTGAACTGAGTCCCCAGTTCTGTAGTCTGGCCTGTGTTTTAGCCCAGACTAACAGCAAAGCATTACTTCATTAATGCAAAGCCACCCACTCCATTTTTAACCTGCCTCCTCTGCTTTTAACAGGCAGGTAATTAATTATTCAGACATGAGGAGTCTATAACTCTCTCTCTGGAGGAATGTCAGGGGACTAAAATGAAGTTGTACCTCCAGGATAGCACCATCTGCACCCTGGAGATATAATTTTCACATGCTCACAGACTGGTGTATGTCTGTCTTCACCACCAACTCCCACAGCTTTTTGCCCAGCTAAGAGATTGAGGTGAGCAGTGCTCCCCAGAGGCTTCTGCCCACATAGGCCAAGGTGCAAAGCAGTTGTTAATAAACATGTGGTGAGGTCGGGCATTAATCCTTCCGCAGGTACTCTTATTTGCATTACAGCAGTGCCTGGCCACAGCTTGAGACTCAGCGTTGTCTAGGGCAGCACCAGTCATTTCCAGGTTGGGAAGTGAGAGCTTCAAGCAGAACTGATGTAACGCTCAGATCTGACCTCTGCACTTTCCAGTATTCAAACAAAACGGAGCACAGTGTTATTCTCTCCATGCAGAGGAAACAGAGCTAAAGCGTCTCTCCAAAATACTAAAGCTCAAGACTTCTCTAAGGACTGTAAAAACAGTAGGTTCGTCAGCTGCGTAGCCCCGCAGAGGGAAGACCCATTTAGCCTCAACGCACAGGCTGAAGAGACTGCGCTATTCGTTCCAGCTGAAAAATTCTCTGCAGCAAAGCAGAGATTTGCTTTTTTAATTATGCCTGGTAGTGCAACTAAGTGAGATTAATTCCTCACTTGCCCAAAGACCACACATCACAGCATGGACAGGAGTGCTGCCTCAGTCACTGTCACACCAGGGTTCCGACAGGGAGATGGAACAGCTTCACAGGGCAGGGAGGTCTGGCACAGGAACGAGGCAATGCAGGTCTTGCTGCTCACTGCCAGATCAAGGCATGCTAATTCAGAAGCTCCTATGCTGCAAACTGGGCTCTAAGACCCAAGCTCCCTTTTCCCTGGCTCTGCTGGGCAGCGGCTCAGCCCCTCGCCAGAAGCCAAGCCAAGAAATCCTCCAGCGGAGGCGCGAGCCTCCACATAAGCTGGCCTGAGCTGGAGATGTTCTGTCAATTAGGCTAAACTGCCTGATTCCTGATGCAGCTAACCCTGCAGCTCCCCTGCTTGGCTGTCCCTAGGCAACTTTTGCACCAGAGCCTGCCCCACACACCCAGCGCTGGGTGCAGCTTTCTTCCTCAAGTCACAGAAGGCAGACGAAGGCTTCCTTCTACCCTGGAGCTGCCAACCAACTCCACACCATAATCCAAAGCATGAGAGCAGAGACACCACAACCAAGGTGGCTATCTGTATTTTTGCTGTAGAGCAGTTAATAAAGGTGGCCCGAGAGTACCTCCTTGCAGACATCAGCAGTAGGGAAACTTTTAAGGAAGATTGTGTGGGCCTGGAGAATACATCATCATGCTTGCTGAGGGTGTCCAACCAGACAGCATATTCTAGCAAAGCAGAAAACAATCAGAGAAGTAGAAAAGAACAAGTTTTACAACACCTCTCATTTCTCCTAGAATGAAATAGTTTGTATCTAGGAATTATCTGAAAGGTCTCACCCCACACAGCTATGGTACTTCTCACATGGATCCCCCAGACCAGGCAAGTGCACTGGCTGCTGGCTGCACAGCATATTTCATCAGCAACTGGTCTTCCTCAACACTTGTCATAAATCGTTCCCTGTTCCTAAGGAACAGCATTGGCAAACATTGTACGTTTACAATAATTAATAAAATCACATTTTCCCAAGAACCTGGCCATTGGAATTCGCCACTGCATGAGCAATTTCTTTCCTAGAGAAGTCATTTCGTTGTCAGCAGATGGTGTTTTTGATCATTCCTGACTTTTTTTTTTTTTTTTTAAATTGATCATGCTGGCCATGAAGAAACTTGGGACCAAGCACAAGCACTCTGCTGCTCCAGGTAAATACAAAAGTTGTGAGTCTTTTTGGGACATGAAAACAGGACTCAGGCTGTCCTGAGGGCCTAAAGCACTCAGAGCCCCTTATGAATCACAGAAAACATCTAGGAAAAAGGATTTTATTTTGCACAAAAGTGTGAAAATCAGTAATTTGTGGAGAGTCTCGTCACCTCCTCAAGAGGAGCCAGCAATGCTCAGCTATACTTTCAGTGATTGCTCTGAAGTCATCTCAAGACACAAAGAAGCTGGTGCCAAGGGCTCTCTGCTTGGAGAGGACAGCAGGAAGGCAGCTCTTTGAAGTCTCCCCTCAAGGGAAACTTTGTTCAGTTGCTCTGTGCAGGGTGAGCTCCCAAGGTGCTCCGGGCTTGCAAGTATCCTTTCAGTAGGGCAGGCTGAAACCCTGTCCCCACGTGGACATCAGGGACTCCAGTATGGTAGGTCTCCCCCTCCAGAGAGGCTCTAGTCCCTGATCTACGAAACCAGCAGGCTGCGCACCGACATCTCCTTCCTAGATTTAGGTGAGAACACGTATCAGGAGAACAGAAGGTGTTACCCAGAGCCTGCCTGATGTGCATGGCCGGCATGCAGACAGAACCCAGCAGAGATCCAAGCTTGCACCTCAGCACTGCATCCAGCACTGCACCTCACAACAGGCAGTGACAGCCGGAAGAAGGCTGCAGCAGCCCCTTCTCCACTCAGAACGGACTGTGCTCAGGTGCATAGCACTGCACAGGTAAGGGAAGCAAGATCAGATGACTGTGGACAAATTTAACAGAAGTGCATGGGATAAAATCCTAAAGACCAAGGACTACAGTGATATTTAGCTATCAAGGACACCACAAGTCATAAGAAACCATTCTGTAAGGACCAAAGGACAAGCTGTTCCCTACCCAACAGGAAGAAAAGGTGTTAGCAGATAAAATCCAGAACCGTCAGGCTCTCTCAGACTGTCTTCTGTGCTCTCTGAGCCCTGCCCAGGGACAGCACAGGAAAATTGTGTCAAATCAGCAGTTCCAGCAAAGAAGCGTCACAGCTCAAACAGCGCCAATGGAGGGGCAAGTGCTGCTTCCAGTTCCCATATTGGACACAGTCATGCCAGCGGTGAATAATCCAGCAAACATCTCTAGCAACTTCAAAATCTTCCACATTTACAGGGCTTCCACGAAATCTTGGGATCCGGGAAAACGCTGCTGTCAACAGGGAAGAACCAGCTTCCCTCCTAGCTCTGAGGATACAGCCAGTCCTCCTGCAATAAGCTGAGGCACAGTAAAAAAAATCCTGCACTAAGGTTCAAGATTGAATGCAGGCAAATCCAGACTGGCACAGCTCCGGCCAGGGGGTTGCCCGCCTTCTGCCTGGAGATGCTGTAACCGTGGCTCAATGCGTCAACACACCTCCTGGAAGTCTGATCTCAAACTCAAATGCTCCCTAGCTCCCTCACGAGTGCGGCCTCCTCGGAGCGCTCCAGCACACCACACCCCTCCTTGGGTCAATAGTTGCATTGCTCTCGCTCCCCGGTTGTCATAAAGATTGATTCTTCTGATAATGGAAACTGTCGGTTACGCTCGCTGAGCGACGTCCCCAAGTCGCCTAAGGCAGATACACACCAACAAAATGGAGCATGTGGATGAAATGCAATAACCTTCTTGGAGTCCCTTGCTCCTTTCTCCCCCTCCACCAACCCCACAGAGCCCCACACCCTCTATACCAGGCCCACACGTCAGCGTAGCCAAGAGGGGCAGGAGGCACAGCTGCCTGGGCTGGAGCTGCTGGCACAAGTGATGCAGGTTATACTGCAAACAGAAAAGACAGCAAAGAAAGACAGGTCCTGCAGACACAGATCAAACGTGGGGCAGCAAGAGGTCTGTTCAGGCTCTGAAGCCAGGCCCCAAGCCGCAGGAGAGCGGGCCAAGATCCAGCACACTGCAGGAAGAGCCAGCATCAGTGCACAGCCTGCAGAGGAGCTGCGCTGGGGAAGGGGAGTGGTCGTTCTCCAGTCAAGAGCCCCTTGGCACTCTGCCTGCTGCAGAATGACGGCTTCATTCTGCTCACCAGGGAATATCCAACTTTTCTTTGAGGCTTGCAGACAGTTTGTCCCAAACTGGCACCTCCTCAGCTGTTTAGCCAAGTCAATCCAGCTTCTCTGGCCTTACTGCAGGTTTGGTCAGGGCCAGGGTTCACTGGGAGAGCCTACTTCGGGCCCTGTGCCAGGCCTGCTGCACAACTAGCCAACTTTGCAAATGGCTGGCCCATGCCTTGGGCAGCAATGGCTGCCTGTTCACAGCTCACTTGGTGCTCAAGGCCCCATTCCTTTACCTCCAACTTGGGAAAGGGACACAATGGGGAGAATTCACAAAGCAGGAATAAAAGTAACTAGAGGACAACACAGGAGGAAGATGAAGCCCATCCCCAGGCAATCCAGGCAAAGTGAGGCAGAAGCCACCTCTGGCTGTCCCTTCCTTCAGTTTTTTGATCCCTTTCAACATCGATCCAATTTGCCAGAGAGCATAAGGATAGGTTCAGACTGTGGCAGCACTGTAATTGTAATGTGCCCTTTCCGACTGAGAGCAAAAGATCCCCAAACTGTCTTGACCTGAGTTAAACACCAACTGCTACTAGCATTGGCCTGAGATTACAACCCCACGGCACACTGAGCCAAAGCGCAGCCGTTTCAGGTCACTGCAAATCCCCGAAACCCCTCCCGTTTCCATTCTCCACACAATGTGCATTCTGAAAGCATTCATTCTCTGACAAAAACCTGTTCTGAGGAAGCTAGAGACAAATGAGGACAAACTCAGTGGTTCCAAGTGGGGGCACACAGGGGTAGAAAAGCAGCGTAAAGAGCTGACGCCTAGAGCAGCATAAGACCACTAGGGCTTTGGATTATCTCTGCTGTCAAGATGAATCTGAGTGTTTTTAAGAGAGCTGAGACTGTAGAGGACAATTTTTTGGCAAGAATGAATTTTATATCACAACTAACAAACACTGGAAAGTACTGAGACCTGATCCTGGCCAGTGAAATTAAGTGCTGGTGTGCAGGAGCGTGAAGTGCTATAGTGACTCTTTGCTTGGTCTCTTCTCTCTCTCTCTCATTTCTCTGTTTTGGAAAGACCCAAGGGGACATGCGGATTCTGCCCCACAAAAGTGCTAAAGATCAGAGCTAAACCATCCGAGAGAAGAACAAGGAAAAGGATCCAGGCCAGCACTGCAGGAGGAGCAATGCAACCTGCCTCCCACATATCCAGAGCCCAAGGACAGATGAGCACCCACATGTGGTGGTGCCCGCTGTCCTGCGCTAAGCTTCACAGCCAGGTAGGAACACGGACACATCTAGGAGCCGCAGGGTAGGAGACTTGCCGGTAGAGCCTCTTCCAACAGCAGCATCACAGGCAAATACTCACTCTTTAGCTTGGAGCGCACTTTGTTCGCTGTCTTTTTTATGTCGGACATTAACTCTTCCAGTTCCTCCTTCGTTTCTGGGGAGATAGAAGAGAGCAAACATGGGTGCATTGCAGATGCTGCTAACTTCTGTTCCTCAGCCCCGCAGCATATGGGACTCAGAGCTGGGAGCAAGTTCACCTCTGAGGTAGGAGAGCCAGCAGAGCGTTTCGAGCTCATGTCCAAGTGGATTCTCCCCACGCGTCCCTTGGACACCACAACCACCTTATGCTGCTCTTCCAGCAGGACACAGGCAGGCTCTGCTTGACAACAGCCCAGCAGCAACTCACCTCCCCCTACCCAGGGCTTGTGACCCCACCACACTAAGACCCCACATGGAGGCACTAGGGTCTGATGCTGAGCACAGTCCTCACTGGTCCCACCAGGGGATGACAGCAGGGTCAACGCACATGGGGCTGCAAGTACTCCCTGCCACAGAGTACCCAGCCTTTGTGGCTTTGCACCCTTTCCTCCATGTAGGAGGTCAAGACAGCAACTGCAGTGTGTCTGCAGCAGCACATGGATATATCACAGGCTGCAAGCGACAGAAATGAGCCTGGCCTTTAACACGTGAGACATGAGGCCAAGTCAGGTGTGCTGGGACTAGGCGAGCCTTACTGCAGAAACCACCTGTTTGCACACAGTATTCAACTCCTACATACCCCATCGCTCTGCAAAAAGGTGAAGGGAGGAGATACACAATTGACAGTGTTGGTTCCTCTATTGGAGGGAGAACCACTGCTGGCCACCAAGAGCTGCAGCGTAGGTCAAACTCCCCTAGGGCCCTGCTGTGCTGGCCAGATCTGTCCACGTTGTTTTAAAAGGATCAGTCTTCCCCAGGGAAAGCCTGGTGCTCTTCTGTTAATTTCCCATTTGCTTTGTGATAAGGACATAACTTATACATGCCCAGGCTCTCCTCTTCCCCTTCAGCCAGCAGCTACTAGTTACAGTGCTTGACTAATCACCAGTTTTTGTGCGTGTTCGCTCCTTAGCCTGAATTCACTGCTTTCAGCAGAAATCTATAGGCTGAAGCAGCACAGTGCTAGAAAATATACAAGTCCCACTGCCCGCATCTCAGAAACGGCTCTGGGAAGCCCATCAGCAGCAGGACCATGTGAAGCAATTCTCATATTTCACTGCTCAGGGGAATAGAAGTTGCAAATAAAAACAAGTGCAAGGCAAATCCCTCCTCTCCGTGCTCATTCAGATCCAAAGCTCCTGCTCTTGTGCCCATTCAGATCCAAAGCTTCTGCGCTACCCCTCCAGAGTGCAGTGCAGACAGCACCACACTCCTGCTAGGAGAACAAGCCCTACTGAGCATTGAGACCCCATCAATAAGTCTTAGCATCCCCCTAGGGCCTTCTCACCAAGCCTGAAAGGGTTTTTATAAAAGTTAGTATCCCAGGCTGTCAGGAATATTGACTTCACAGAAAAGTAAAGCAGATGACACACTCCAGAGAAGTAAATCAGCTGTGGAACTTAGCTCACCAGACTCACCAGTGGGACTTGGCATCGGGCTATCTATACTCTCTCCCATGTGCAAAAGCCAGAAATGAGGCTGTAAGGCTTTGAATTGAAAACTAATGACAGTTTAATCATTATAACGCCTCTAAACAGTTGTGTCTTGCAGTAATGTTCTCTGCATTGCGGCAGCGTCTCCAAGCCACAACCCAGTGCTTGTCCAAACATGGATCAGAACGAAACTCCTCGATCTCAGTTATACCCCTTCCCAGAAATCACAGAGCATCCTTTAAGGAGTCTGAGATATCCAGCAGTGACTTTCACCATCCTGTGTTTCAGAGACTGCTGGAGCCCTGTCAGAGCAGCAGCACATATGGAGCAGGTCATACATGTTCTCTGATTAGCAGACAGGTCTCCATACCATGCCTCACCAGCACAGCCCTTCACGCTAAGCATCTGCAAAAGGGTGCATGATAGGAAACACCTGCATTCAAACAACAAACCACCTCTGCAAAGGAAGGACAGTAGGGTACAGGGGAAGTTGGCAGGTGCCTAGCTGTGTTCATCTGCAGGTATGCAGACAGCCAAGCTAACTCGCCAGGGAGGTAACCCTGACCTGTGCCACAAGACTGGCAGACACAAGTACACACCAGCACGGCCAGAGCGTTGCAATGTCTCAAGATCCAGATAATAAAGAAAGCACAAAAGGCTTCCCATTCTAATATAATTTCTCAGAAATCCAGCCACCCTAATGCTTCCTTTCAATTTTTATGAGATCAGGACTTATTTAATTAAATAAAACTTTGTTTAACAGACTCTAGGCACATTAACGGAGTCATTTCAATGGCTGTGGTAGCTGTGATGCTGTACGCTCTCAGCTGGCAGTCACTAGACATAATTAGAAAATCATAATGATAGGAAAGTGCTGGGGGAAGGTCACATCCTATTGATGGTTGTACATGTTTCTGACTCAACTAAGACCTTCAGGAGTATTCAGGAAAGGGAGGAAAAACACTTCCGCAAATACCTTCATCCAGGCTCTAGTTATTTCTGAGCATGCCAACACAGCAGCCTCACTGGACAGAGGCAGTACAATTTGCCAAAAGAATAAGCATTAACTCAGGAAAAGGAAGAGGATATTTTCAGTTTGATTTCTCATTTAAGTAATTATTTTATTTCTTTCCATTCTTAAAAAAAACTGTATTTAATAAACAAACTAGCTTAGGCCAAATAACACTATACACCAGGGCAGGCTGGGGGCCAGCTGGCTAAAAAGCAGTTTTGCAGAAGACGACCCAGGAGTCCTGGTGGACAACAAGTTGCCCAGAAGTGAGCCCATGCTGCAAAATGGGTAAACCACATCCTGGGCTGTGTTAGCAAGAGTATAGCCAGCAGAGCGAGGAAAGGGATTATTCACTTCCCCTTGGCACTTGTGAGACCATATCTGAAGTGCTGTGTCTCTTTGGGACTCCCCCCCAAAAAGGCAGGCATTGATCCAATGGAGCAAGGCCACCAAGACGATCAGGACTACAGCACAGAAACTACGTGGACAGGCTGAGACACCTGAGTTTGTTTTGCCAGAAAAGGGAAGATAAAGGAGAATCTTACCGCTATCTGTAACTACCTAGCGAGAGGGTATAGAGAAGATGGAGCAAGACTCTTCCTTGGAGGTACACAGGCACAGGACAAGAGGCAACAGACCAAGCTGGGATATGGGAAATTCCATAGACAGATATTAGGAACAAAAATTTCATCATGAAGGTGGTGAAACAGTGGTCCCAGAGAAGCTACCGGATGTCCATCCTTAGATATTTGCAGAACATGGCTGGAAAAGGCCCTGAGCAACCCGATCTGATGGACCTGCTTGGAGGGAGGTTGGATCAGAGATCTCTGGAGGTCCCCTCCCACCCACATCAACTTTTGATTTTATGAAACAATTTCACATAACTTATTGTTAAGTGCCTTCCCTTTTGCCTGTTAAGGTGAGCAAAGTGCTGGACTGGCACTAGTGATAAGCACACACACGGCAAAGCGGTCAGCTCGCGTGTGCACCCAGAGCCGTAAGAGCAGTTCAGGAAGCTAACAGGGATACACAGTTGGACAAAAGGAGATGGGACTGGCATTTACGTACTTCGCTGAAGCTGCCTTTTCTCAAAATATTTTCGACTGAGCAACAGAGCGAAAACGCTACTTCTGGCTGTTTTTTAAGTCACAGAACTTGTGAGGATTACTTGGCGATCTGGTAGGCACATGCTTTCCAGACTATTTTCACATTGATGGTGTCTGTTTAAGTGACTCACTCAAATCTATTTAACTGTTCATTGCGAGTAACATTCGGCAACAGGAAGCTGAACAGCTACAACATCACTGCTGCTGATGCAACAGTGCTGATGCCCCAGCAACAAAAGCAACAGTAAGGGACAACGCCAACACTTCCTGCCACCACAGTCCAGGCTGGTAAAATGATTCAGCTTCACTAAAGCCTCAGTTGCTTGGGATAAATAATGAGTGAATGAATGAATGAATAAATAAATAAATAAATAAAATAGATTCCCTTGTGCTCCTCCTCCCCAAAGCTTTCTGAGCTCCTTTTAGGATCCCCCATGTGAAGGGATGGAACAACACAAAACAAACAGCAGGCAGAGTTCCCACGTAGAATGCTCTTTGGGGTGAGGGGATTCCTGCGTCCAGCACGAACACTCAAAACTGAAGTTTAACGTCATTAATAAAGGTGTGTGTGTGGTGGACAGGTGACTACAAACCACCAAGCAGTGAACTGGACAGCTGTACCTGCACAACAAGGATATTGGGCTGCCCTGCGGCCTGGAGGCAGGGCGCAAACTTTCACCACTCAGAAGTTAACCATGGGGAACTGAGACTTGCTCTTCTCTGCTTTGGGAGCCTATGCTGCATTTGAACATGAAAATGAAGGCAACTTGTATACCGAATGCGGTTTTGAGCTAGTTTAAACTTTCTCACGTAGGACGGTAACTTATTAATTGGATTAATAAAACTTCACCTCTTGTCACCTGGAATTGCTCACTGACAACAACCAACACAGTTAACAAAAGTACATTTTAAAAGTAACTCATAACTCAATTGCCTGGCAAACAAGCCAGGAGAAGGATGTTTCTGATAAAGACTCAATTCTTAAAACACAACACAACACAAAACGCAACATAACACAAATTTCCTTACTGCAGTTCCTCCAAAGACATCTTAAAAAAAGATACTGTTAAAAACAAACCGTTCTTATCTTAAAACTTTCCTTGTACCTCTTTCAGGTTATCTTTGATGTGCTTGCTCATCTTGGCACCTACATTTACAAAAAACAATGCATTTTTTAAAAGTGAATGCAAAGCTGCAAGCATAGGACCTAGCAGCGGCCCAACAGCCTACAAGGGCTGTCTGGTCTGCATAAAAGCCAGAAGCAAAGCAAAGAATCCTTCCTGGGGATTTACAGAGTTTAGCTGAAACTTTTTCATAATGTTTTATTACTTAGCAGTAGCAAAAATGAAAACTTAAAAATCACCAGGCAGGAGATTGGTTAGAAAGACTATTTCAGCCACAAGTCTTC